TAAGTCCAAAATACAGCTTGCATGAGCTCTCGTTGGTACTGCATGGCACCTGATCATCCTACACCATCATCCACTCGTTGACTGTGGTCAATGTAATTGCCACTCTTAATACTAAGCAACCGCAATAATTGAGGTCAAATTCGACAGAGATGAAAGTTGAATGAGATTGGTTGACCTACTCCTATCTTGAAATTCCATTTCCTTTGGGTTTTGAAATTTCTTATTTCAATTTTGTATTCCATTTGGTGTTTTATTCAAGTAGATGAATGTTGGTATGTCTCATATATTGACAAAGGAAGGAGGCAGGCTGATGTCTGCGAGCGTAACGAAGCGAACGTAGCAAGGGTAGCGGAGCGACCGAGCGAAGTGAGCGGAGTGGTACGGTACAGGGTATTTAAGTAAATTAATACCTTGTAGGGTTAAAGTATAAATACATGGTGTATTCATGTATTTGAGACTATTGAGAATAATAAAGATCTCTCAGCCGCCGTGGACGTAGGCATATTGCCGAACCACGTAAATCTTGTGTTGTTTACTTTTCTCTTTTTTTTTTCTTTTTTTAAATTCGTATGCCATATTGTCATATTCTCTCGACAATGAATGACACATGTACATAATGCCACCAATATTTGTGCTCCAAGAGAAAAGAAGGGCTGAATTAGAGATGATGGCGGGTCGGGTATTCACTAATTTAAGGCCATCAGTACCCGAATTGTCACTACAAAATAAAAAATATCGTATTTCAACCGAAAATCCTATCGTACTATATTTCAATAGAAATTTCAACGGATATTCCAATGTTATAATTTTTGTTGCAATGATTTCAACGGAATTATTCCGTTGGAATGGGTTTTCCATTGAAATTTAGATGGAAATTGATCATTCCAATGGCTATTATCCCAATGGTTTTTTTTCGTAGAAATTTTTGTTGGAATATATTATTTTCATTGAAATTTTAATTTTCACCCATATTTAACAGTTGGAAAAAGTGTCGTTGGAATCGTCAACATCCAACAGAAATTCAATGAAAACTCATTCCAAAAAGAAAAAATTGTTGGAATTTCTGTTGGAATTCATTAGAAAATTCTAATGGAAATAATAGCATTGAAAAATCTATTGGAATGATTGTTGGAATTCCATTGTATATATTTCCGTTTGAATTTTCCATTTGAATTTCATCATATTTTTTGTAGTGTGTATTATAATAAAACTTTATATATTTATGTCTCAAAACCTTTATATAAAATTGAATTATGAACAATTCTGGTCATTATGGTAATTGAAACCATGGATGAATAAAATATTATGAATCAAATTTTGTGTGATTAATTTAGGAATTTGATTATATGAAATATTATGAATACACTATTAATCATTATAGTGACACTCTATCTGATAAGAGTTGATAAGAGTTGGAGATAGCTGTGATTGTACCTAGAAAGTAGTGAATAATTAACATACTCCATGTTTTATTTCAATACGATTAATCATCCTTTTTATATCACGTCAATCGACACACAAACCCGACTACAACTTTTTCTATTCCCAATCGTAAGCCTTCACGTAATTTGTCGGAGGATCGCCCGAGAAATAAATACCATCGTCCCTTGCCGACCAATAGCACTTTCTGTCTGTGCATATCGAATTGTCCCACTTCGCGTTGAAAGCCTCGAAAGCTATGTCCTTATAACCACCCCACCACAGATGACAGAAAAACAGAGTGACAACCGGCCTTTTGCAGAAATGAAAGTGAAATTCTTGGTTCGTGGTCACAGTATGATTTCCCATATCATTGTCTTTGGAAGCACAATGTACGATTAATGGATCGGTGTTTGGCGGGAGATTGTTGATGACATGAACATGGTAAGAAAATAGTGCATTAATGAAACAAGCATTTGCTTGGGAAATATTGCAGGTGACAACATATAGGATGAGTGATAGTACCACTATGTACTTCAACATAGTTTTGTCCCAAAATAGTTCCATTTTGTATGAGTGGTATGTCGTCCTTTATATAGGTGAAGTCCTTTGGGCACTTTTACAAGAAAAATGTGATATTTCGTTTTGAGTTGAGATAATTTGGTGTGTCATCTCCTCATATTTGAAATTTGTGTAACAAATCAATGATTGGTGGGATTTAGATTTTTGAAATATTGTATTCTACAATTAGATACCGTAATTGTTGTGGAATTTTAGTCACAAAATTTTGGATTTGTTGAATATGATAATGTGGCTAGCCTTTTCAATAAAGATCAATCTTTTAATAATAACTAGTACATTTTTTCGTGCGATGCACGAGAGCA